CCCTCTTGAATCAGTTCCAAAAACAGGCGAGGGTTGGAGCTGTTGTTTTTTTTTGCTGATGTTCTTTCTTCTTCGGTGCTTTTACCATATGATTTAAATCAAGCATCATTTCAGGTTTCCAGATAAATGAAGCTCTTTCATCCCCCTGCTGTGGCTGTCAGCTGGCTGGCCCCACCCCTCCCCTTCCCAGTCACTCCTCACATGGCCTGAGAAGGGCAACGACGGGGATGGAGACTCGCTCCATATTCCAGAGCGGGAGGGAAGTGCCCCTGTATTGCCTCTCATCTCACGGGCGCTTCTTCGTGCTGAGTGTGGCGCTGCAAGAGCAGCGAGCAGGCCATGAAAGTGGTGAAAGCAAGTTGCAAGTGTAGAGCACTGGCCTGGGCCAGCTGAGGCTGATGCTGCTGCTCTCACTGCCACTGCTCTCACCGCTGCTGCTCTCGCCACCTCCATGGCCTGCTAGCTGCTCTTGCAGCGCCTTGCACACACACTTAAATTTAGCGCACTTCACAATGGGGGAGACGGCGTCCTCTGCTCCTCCTGGAGCCCATTACCATGCGGATCATCAGCTGCAGCCAGGCCGGGCCACTGTCTCAGGGCGGAGAGAGAGAGTCATGCGACTCCCTGAGTGACTGAGGCGTGCGCAGCACCAAGAAGCACCAGAAGAAGCGCCTGCGAGATGAGAGGCAAGTACAGGGGTGCTTCCCTTCCACTCTGGAATATGGAGCGAGTCTCTATCCCTGCCATCACCCTTACCTTCTCAGGCCAGGCGAGTGACTGGGAGGGGAGGGTGAGGGGCGGAGCCAGCCAGGTGGCAGGGAGCCACAGCAGGGGGACGAAAGAGCCACATGCGGCTCGGGAGCCACACGTTGCCGACACCCGGACTAGAATGATCTAGTTGGCTTTCAAAACAGAAGTTGGGATAGTAATTACATATATCTAGTGATATTATAAAAGATTTAAAAAGCATCATTCAACAAATAATTTAAAGGCAGTAAAAAATGCTAAAATATTCCAGATTTAATGAAATATTAGATGGCAGATGTTGTCAATTTTTAATAATCCCTTTTATTTTACATGCTAGCAATTTTTTATCAGAACATTTATTAAAATTTTAAAAAAATATTATTGCATCTGAATATGTAAAACGTGTTACAATTAGATCAACAAAGTTCACAAAGTGAGTTTATATAGACAAGGTTTAAAATAACACAATTCAATTTCAAGTTCTTCAACTTGGAAGTATTACAATTAATGCAGGTAGTCCTCCACTTATGATCACAATTGGGCCGGGAATCTCTGTCATGAGCAAAGCAGTTATTAAGTGAGATACTACATGACCGCTTCACTCAACAACCACAATCCTAGCTCTCTCATTTGTGGAGGAGAAAATTCTTTATATTTGGAAGTTAAACTGAATTGAACCCATCTGAGCTTTAAATCTCCATCTGCTATGTGTATTACTAGAGAAGTGATTTAAAAATTCAATATTTCAGCGCAAAAGTTAAAAAGTGCATATCAGTTACTAAATCAGAAAGCAATAGACAATTAATAAATATAGACATATGCCTAGAAGAACAGCATTTAGCATTTGAAGAATCTTGGCCTCTCTGTATATTGGATTTATTCTCATTAGTCCCAGACATTATGACTAATTTTAATGTACACTGGAGTTGTAATCTAAAATAACTGGAGAGCACAAAGTTTCTTTATCTGGCCTGCCATAACTTTAAAAAAAATGTATATAGAATACTGCTGACTTTTAGGTCAGAGACAATTTTTATTTGGATTTAGTAACTAATTAGTGGTTGTAACTAGAAATAGGCTCTTGTGTAACTTGGTTCTAGAACTTAATTGACCTGCAGAGATGTAATAAGCCTGACCAGACTAGTGATTATGAGACAAGATGTTTCCCTTGCAATTAAAGAACTCTCCTGAACTTGAAAGCTTTGAGTGCCTGCTTTGAGAACACATGCATGCCCAGAAAACATTTCATGAGCAAACTGTCCCTCTGGATCCAGCCATTGGACACATAAAGCAACTGCAGTCATTTCAGCGCTTGGTGTGGCAGCTTTGGGGCTTTCTGGATGTTATCTCTTGATCAATGCCACTGTCTTATCTAATATTTTTACAGCATTGCCTTTCTGCCAAAGTCAGCAGAGACCACAATGGCAAACTAGAAATGCAAGTCTACAGAAAAACCACCCATACTAACCAAGTGCTCCACTACCAAAAGCAGCAACTCAACCTCCCACAAGAGAAGCTGTGTAAGGACTTTATTTAAATGATCCTAAACACACTGCAGCAACCCAGAGTAGCAGAAAAAGAAATGGAACATCTATACAACACATTCCAACAAAATGGATACTTTATCAAAATGTTCCTGACTTCTCAACCGAATATAGCACAACCAACACAAACCCTAAAAAGAATTACACTGCCATACATCAAGAATATATCAGAAACCACCAATAGACTTCTACAACCACATGGAATCAGAAAGCACACAAGCCAACTAAAGTCCTCCAAAACATGTTAAGCAAACCAAAAGAACCAGCAACCCCAGAAGAAAGAACAGGAGTCAACTACAACATACAATGTAAGAACTGCAAGAACTGCAACAACAGCTATGTAGGACAAACAGGCAGAAGAGTGGCAGAATGCATCGCAATCTGTGTTGACAGGGGGGCAGCGGTCGACCCCGAGGCACCTTGCTTGTGGGGTGCCACAAGGGTCGGTCCTCTCGCCCCTTCTGTTCAACATTTATGTAAAGCCGCTGGGTGAGATCATCCGTGGCTTCGGGGTGGAGTTCCATCAGTACGCTGATGACACCCAGCTGTACATCTCCACCCCAGGCCACCCCAACGATGCCCTTGAAGTGATGTCCCAGTGCCTGGAGGCCGTGCGGGCCTGGATGGGGAGAAACAGGCTCCGACTCAACCCCTCCAAGACTGAGTGGCTGTGGCTTCCGGCGTCCCGATATAGCCAGCTGACACCATCGCTGGCTATTGGGGGCGAATCACTCGCCCCCACGGAGAGGGCTCGTAACTTGGGCGTCCTCCTGGATGCACGGCTGTCGTTAGAAGATCATTTGACGGCCGTGGCCAGGGGAGCTTTTTATCAGGTCCGCCTGATACGCCAGTTACGCCCCTTTCTAGATCGGGACTCCCTACGCACAGTCACTCAGGCACTCGTCACTTCCCACCTGGACTACTGCAACGCTCTCTACATGGGGCTCCCCCTGGGGTGCACCCGGAGGCTCCAGCTGGTCCAGAACGTGGCCGCGCGGGGGATTATGGGGGCGACGAGGCGCTCCCATGTAACACCTCTCCTGCGCGAGCTGCACTGGCTTCCGGTGGTCTTCCGGGTGCGCTTCAAGGTGTTGGTGACCACCTTTAAAGCGCTCCATGGCTTAGGGCCGGGGTACTTACGAGACCGCCTTCTGCCACCAATAGCCTCCCACCGGCCAGTACGCTCGCACAGAGTGGGCCTCCTCAGGGTGCCGTCCGCCAGACAATGTCGGCTGACGACTCCCAGGGGGAGAGCCTTCTCTGTGGCGGCGCCCACCCTCTGGAACAACCTCCCCCCAGAGATACGTACAATAACAGACCTCCGGATTTTTCGTCGGGCCCTGAAAACTCATTTATTCCAACTAGCGGGGCTGGCTTGAGTTAATTTTAAATTGATTTTAAATTGGGTTATTTTAATTTACGGCCAATAATATTTAATTATTTTAAATTGCTTTTAAATTTTGTATATATTGTTTTTTACTCTGGCTGTTCACCGCCCTGAGTCCTATTCTGGAGAAGGGCGGTATAGAAATTTAAATAATAAATAAATAATAAATTTAGAAGTGAGTTTTAGTCTCCTCACTGGGGCTTATTCCTTTATAAACAAACATATGAGGGTAACCTTAACTTCCATTCAGTCCTTCATGAGAAAGCTAGGGCTAAGCAGAATGATGGAGGAGCAAAGTAGTACAATTCTAGAAACAGCCTAAGAAACACGATCAAAAGCTTTGTAACAATAGAAACCTCCCATATAAATTAGGGACTTTGTATACAATTCCAGTTTTTAACATCTATACCACAGATGTTAAACTTGCGGCATCACATTGCCATCACGTGATGTAGATGTATCATGATGTTTTCCTCTTCGTGGAACTGGGACGGGCATGGCCTACACGAGACACATCCTGCCTGCAGGCCGCCAGTTTGACACCCCCCTGATCTATATTATAATATTTCAAATGCTTTATAAAAAGACAGGAAAAAGAAAGAAATCAGTATGTTCAATAGAATTATAAAATATAGGTAAGAAAATGGAGGGAAGACCTAATAATGAATTATAACAAATTGAAAACATATTTTGTGCAGATGTCCACATCCAATGTCAGATAATTTTACTTCCTTCTTTTCCTGTAAAATTTCTCATATTCCCTCAAAGATTATTTTCTACCTAGAAGACTGTAACTGAATATGCGGAATATGTCATAAATATGAACTTCACCATTTATTTCTAAAATCTATGAAACAAATAGCAATTAATGGTTGGTAAATTCAAGACCCTGATAAAACCTTTCTTTAAAAAAAATCAATCACAATATGCTTCTCAGAAAAGTGTAAACTAACACAATTTTGTTGTGAGTTTTATTGTAAGATTGGCTCCCACTCTATCTTTTCCAAGGCCCTGAAAATGTGATTCTGCTAATGGGGACCACAGTGATAAGGAGCCCATCAAGTGGAAGTAGTATGTTATTGGTTTTTCTACTGCAGTTTTATCCTTGTAATCCGCCCGGAGTCAACAAGAGTGATCTGGGTGACCATATAAATTTTCTTAATAAATAAATAAAAATTAAGAACCAGTTAAGGTAAAAAAAATACATATTGCATGTTTGTTCCTGGAATAAATTAGACAAGACAATATCCGAAACATTAAAAAGTTACTCATATGAATATCTATAAAATTTGTTGGAAAACCTATCCATCCATACTTCTTACCTTTTCCATTTATTGTTAACGCAGATGCAATGGTAGCTGTTACTGGCACTGGCAATTGTGGCACTAATGAATGTATTCTTGGCCTGCTCCCCATTCTAGCACGTTCTTCTCCAGGACCTAATAAAGCTCCAACTGGTTTTTCTGCTGCCACCTCTGGGGCTACAGAATCTTCATGATCCTGCTCAATGCGATCCAGCTTATCAGGACTTTCATTCTGAAAGCCATCTACTGCTGTCCGACTCTTGATAGGACTTTTGGGCACAAGAATTTTGATACCTGATTTTGAAAGGTCCATGTTTTTTCTACCAGAGAGAGGAGTGTTGTTTTTCCGAAACTTCTGAGCAGCAAACAGTTGATTTTTTGATTCATGGTCTTTTCCAAGAACTAAGGATTTAGACGTTTTTGAAAAAGAACTATTAGTAGATCGAGAAATTTGTTTTCTTGCATTATTTGGAGATGTCCTGTTTGTCCTTGTTAATGTGCTTTCTTTTTGTTTTTCATTGTGATGTCTATTAAATTCATGTATATATTCTTCACAATTCACGAGGTGCTGTTCAGGTTCCCATGTGTCATCTTCACTCTCATAGCCTTTCCATCGTACTAAGTATTCCGTTTTTCCTTTCTTGTTTTTTCTTTTATCAACAATTCTCTCTACCTGTTGAAAGAATTAGAGATGGCGATGAAGATGTACTTGTGAATGTTTAAACATGAGTGTACAATGAAGCAATTTGAAATACAGAATCTAGAAACAATTATATTTTGTTTCAATCATACAAATTAATTTTGGCAATCAGTGTAAATAATTGTGTGCTCTTTATTAGTAAGCTCAAGCAATCTTAAATGTTGACAAATGCATGAAAGTATACAATAAATTATATGATGATGGCTAAAAAGAAAAATGGTACTAATGTCATACATATTTTTAATGTTGTACGCTGCCTGGAGTCATAATATATGAGTTGGGTGGCCATATAAATTTATTTAATATATAAATAATACATATTTGACATTCCTTGATGGGAAAAAGTCTGCGCCTTCAGTTATATAACAAGTATTAATATATTTATTGCCATCATAACTAGGATGCCTTACTCTCAGTGACATAATCCTAAACTTCTACAAAGGGAAAACAAGATTATAATCATTGGTGAACATCTATCTTTGGATGTTGGGCAACCTATCTTGGGCAACTCATGAATTTATTATCTTTAAAATGTTAGAGATGGGGAAATGGCTCTTTAATGGGCAAATTAAGAATGCAAAATGCTTTTAAATTCATTATTAATGTCATTTTTCAATATTACTGCCAACTCATTAAAGACATAGAACATAAGATAAAATAAACATTCTTAAGGTGACAGTAATGTAAACCATAGTAGTGTATTAGTGGAAATCAGTTCTTGGGAAATCTTAAGCAACTATAGATAGAAATAATTTGATCTATTAGTGTTATTCACATATTCATCATATTGGAGATAACAAAAATAATACATCACATTTTCTCTTGATGTCCTATTTGAATTCTCAGTATATTATCTCCCTCTCCTTATGCTTACCATGCATAATGTGTACAAAATACTTGGCTTTCTATTTTTCTAGGACTCTGTTAATATTTTTGCAACAGACCACTCAAAAATGAAACTAATATCTATAAAGTGGCTACAAAGAGAAGATGACAATAAAGAAACACTAAAATCTGGGATGCCTTAAAATCGGATGGAAATTTAGTTTTAAATTTTAAACCAAGTGTTTCAATGATTGTAATGATCACATTATTTTTAATATGCTTAAAATATATTTATTTGTTCCAAATTTAGTTATTTAAAATATTTGTTCTTGGTGTGTCTTTATAACAAATATTTCTACACTGAATACATGATACTGCTATAAATAACCTGTTTGCCTGCTCTCATAAAACAGAATGCCATAATGGAGATGTTGTTGATAGTACAGAATTCTTTGCCTTAAAATCTCCAGATTTAACAGATTACACCATTTTACTAAGTAGCAGGAATTGCATGGTTATAATACATGAGTATTTCATACAAGAGCATATTGTTGCTACATAACTCCCACCTATTTTTTTCATCATTTGAGGATCTACATCTTGCAAAAATCATATTCAGTGTTATCCCAGTCAGAAATATTGGCTGATATTGGATGAAATGCATATAGTATAGCAAAAGTGATTCCTTTCTACAAATTTAGCATTCCTACATAGTGTAAGTTTTTCAGTGTATTATATAAATCACGTCTATCAAAATATAAAGTTATTCTACAAATCCATGGAAATGAATCTGCTGAGATAAGCATAAATGTATCATATATGCAAATAATTTACAAAATTTGCTTTGATTAGTTTATTCTTGTAAAGGAATGATAAATTTAAAACCTAAAATCCAACAATAGCAGTTATTCATATACTGGTGAAATGTTTTAACCAATTTGGTAACTTGATGAGAAACAAATTAAAGAGACAGACAGACCGACCGACCGACCGACCAACCAACCAATCTAGTCAGAAATGGAAATGAATTGCTGAAAACCTGTCTTTATGCACATTATTGTTAAACAATTTTCATTTTAAGTAGCTGATATCTCATTCTATATATGTATATCAAATGTTTTCATGAGATATATAACCGTGTGTGTGTATGTGTGTGTGTGCGTGTGTGTGTATACCTTTATTAAATTTCAAAATAAAATAAAATAAAATACAAACTGATATACAAGTGAAAAGGGGAAGGGAATAAAAGGGAAAAAGTTAAGTGACAAATACACACACACACACACAAAAAGTGACCTCCAACTTTTTTCAGTACAGAGACAATCATAAAATATAAAATACCTCTCTAAGTTTAAATAAATAATTTCTTTTTGAAGGAAATAGGCAGTTCAGAAATATGAAAAATATATAAATAATTAAATAATTAAATAAATACCTAAATACCTTATAAAAAACATATTCATATATTAGTTTAACTTTAATCTAACATGTAAAAACTTACTAACTGTAAATCAATATATTTAACAATCCACAATATTTTCCTAGTCAAATAAAATCTAATCCCCAAATACCATACTATTTATCCTGAGAAAATAAGAAATTTAGCGCATGCAATAGATTTTTTAAAAATGTATTTATTTATTTTCATTTGCGCACCTCCGGGCCTCCTTTCTCATCAGCAAAGCATTTGAGGATTGCGTCCCTGTAGCCTTCGGCAGCCCTTTGCAAAAAGCCTTTGCCAGTGGGAACAGAGTTTTGGAGGAAGGATCGGGTCCGCCTTTCCCAAGCTTTGCTGGCGCTGACAAAGGCTTTTTGCAAAGGGCTGCTAAAGCATACAGGGCCACAATCACCCTACAGACTTCGGCAAGGAAACAGCAAATGGAGAGAAGGCCTGAAGCCTTCCCTTCATTTGCAAACGTCCAGGCCTCAATTCTCAGAGAATAGGGACCTAAAGTGCGAGATCATGCGAGATCAGTAGTACGAGATCTCGCGCTACTGATGTCACATGATCTCGCGGTACGTTAGGTCTCTGTTCTCTATGAATGCACCAAAAGCCTGAAGCAACAAAGTAGGCAAAGAAACCGCGACAGAGAGGAGATCTTCGCAAGGTAAATGAGTCTCCACAGGCAAAGTGTCTGTGAAGACCTAACCCAGGCTGTGTGTGTGAACAGACAGGGCGAACATTGCAGAGCCTCTGTGGTCGTTCATAAGGGTGAACAACTGTTGTGGTGCTGCAACATTCATAATTTCGGGACTTGTTCATAAATGCTAGGGAGTGCTTATCACGTAACTTCGAACGTTTGCTAAGAGAACGCTCGTAACCTGAGGATTACCTGTACAACATAAGTTTCATTATATTTAGTTTTGTTATGTGAATTTGCAACTTCATTGTCAATTAATTCTAAAATATAATTTGTAAAAACTCTTCTATACTGTGGAACTGTTTCTAGTCTATTAGTGAAATTCAGTATAGACCGACCTCATTTAGGTAGTCTTGTACAGAGATCATTCACAGTTAAAACAGTGATGAAAAAGTAACTTTGCCACCTATCTTTGCATTTAAGACTTTTGCAGGTCTGTTAAGCAAGGGAAAACTGAAGTAAGATCATTAGCACAGTTGCACTTTCATGTAGGGACTGCTTCACTTAACCAAGTTGTTGGTCTCAATTGTGGTTCCTAAACAAGGACTTACCTGTATTTTATATTCCTATCCAGTGGTGAAATCCTCCTTGGATCGCCACTGGTTCACTACTTGTGCATGCACGGCATGTGCCAATGCGTGATGCGTGCCAAAAACATGCTGTGCACGCATGCAGAGTGCACACCAAATGCGCACTTTGCACAGAAAAAGACGACTACACTAGGTAAGTAGAACAGCGAGGGGGGGAACCTGAACCAGTAGTTTTTATCACTACCGGTGTGCCCGAACTGGAGCGAACCGGTAGCATTTCACCCCTGTTCCTATCCTTAAAAATCCAGCACGCATAACAGAATGAATCTGAAAGAACTATTTTCCACTCTCCAGTTCTGGATCCTGACTCTGAATAGCCTTTAAGTCTGTTAGAAAATATAATATTCTCTGATTTTTGTTTTGTCTTTTATTTCAGTTTATTTGACTATGGGACAGGAGAGTAGAGCTAATAGGACTTTAAAGTATTTTCATATTTAATTTTATAGCAAATTACACTGCTTAGCATCTGGAATGATTTAAGAGAATCACAAATCACTATTGCTAATATGCCAACTTATTTACTGTATTTAATTTAAATATATGTATATACCCTCCCCCCACCTCAAACCAGAACTCTTGGCATCTCACAATTTAAAAACAACACTATGCAATAATTAAGCAGAAAAAAATAAAAACAGAAACAACAAAAACCTGGCACCATACCCAAACTCCCTTGATGCAACCCATAATAATCTCTTCTAACTGTAGCTTCAACCTATGCCAATGCTTTGAGGGAAAGCCAATTCTTCAGTTTTTAGAAGGTTCAGTGGGTGGGTGGGAGGGCAAGCTGCCCCAGAAAACGTATTAAAACTTTATTAGCTCAAACAAACCAAGTCATGCATGATTAAAATTAATTTTTGGATTCAATATAGCTTAATGAAATTCATTCTGAATATAACTTAAAGGCATCTTCATTGTTGGCTTCAAAATGATAATTCAGTACTATCTTTAAAATAGTATTTTCCCTTGAAAATTGGTCACCATCACCTTTACATCTGCTAGATTACTCCCAGTGGTGGGATCCAGCTGGTTCACACAGGTTTGGCCAAACCTATTAGTTTTTTTGCATAGTTTGTGAACTGGTGGTTCCCACCACTGGCTGGCCCCACACTGGCCACCAAGGTTGCCATTCTGGGTAGGGAAGTTGCAGGGCTTCACTGCATGATTGGGGGCTGCACTGATCAGCTGGGAGGCGGCAATTGACTGGCTGCCCCGATCAGCTGGGAGGCTGATCAGTCAGTTCAGTCAGACCTTCCAACTTCACGAGATCTTTTTTCCCCAAGAAGTTAGGAGGTCTGACTGAAAACCTTTTTTTAATTGGTAGTCACATGGACTTTTGTTGCCCTGTATGCAGGAGAACGGAGCTGGAAAGCAGGTTAGTGAGTGAATGGTGGTTGTTCTGGAATGGGGTGGAAGT